GGAATGGATATCACATGCATGGAGTATGGTGGACGGACGAAATTGAAGACTAAAAAGGCTTGGAATGTGTTAAAAAGAAAGAAGAATTAATGTAAAAATGACAAAGAGCTCAGCAACCAAAGAAGAAACATGAGTCAAGATTACCTTATCATCATCCATGTTCCCTCCTTGCACTTAATTGCTACTCCATTCCTTGTTCCCTCCATCATTTCAGATTTCATGCATCATTACTTTGAATCATTTCAACACCACTCCATTTTACCCATGCTTTGCATCATTACTTCACTTTCACCTTTGAATCATTTCAACACCACTCCATTTTACCCATGCTTTGCATCATTACTTCACTTTCACCTTTGAATCATTTCAACACCACTCCATTTTACCCATGCTTTCCATCATGACTCCACTTTCACCTTTGAATCATTTCAACACTACTCCATTTTACCCATGCTTTGCCTTGCACTTCCTCTATAAAAGGAAGTGTGTGTAACATAAATGGAGTTCATATATTTTTAGATCATTCACTCCCATTTCAATACAACCTTCATCCAAACACATCCATTCATATTTACATCCATTCCTCCATACAAACAAACCTTCAAACACTCACCAACACCTTGTGCCGTAGCAAATGAAGGAAAGGAAAGTGCTTGGATGTCCGTGCTGTCAACTTGGATCGTTGGAGCATTTAGGTGTTTTCTTTCTTTTGTTTCCAATGTTAAATCCATTTTCTGATTTTGTTGTAATTATGAGTGGCTAAACCCCCATTTAGTTAGGGGGAAGTTTGAAGCCATGAACATGCTTGAGATATGAATTGATTTCTTCCAATTGTGATTTGATAAGTTGTGATTGCAATTCAATTATCTATTTTATTCATAACTGATTCTTGTATGTTTATTAAGGATGCATACTTAATTTTCATGCATGAATTAGATGCTAGAATATAAATGAGTTTCACCTAATCGTTACAAGTTTATATCCATGAGTAGTGAAGGTTGTTTATCACAATCGCGTTAATTGAATTCTTGGCAGTTGTATCATGCATTCATAGTTATAATTGCCTCGTCAACACTTATGATTTTCATTGAACGTAATGATCTCTGATTGTATCTCTATTATGCATTCATATAGGGGACTTTTAGAGAATGATTTGGGTTGTCGCATGCATTCATCCAATTCAATAAGTAAAGGAAAATCTGAGGGTTAATTTGTGCATCACGGTTAATCTAGGGTGTTGAGCATAATAGTTTATTGAAAAGCAATTGGAAATCGATTCATGTACAAGTGTGTCATGTGTGAAGAATGGACCTCTAACTAATCCATCCATCATCGTATTCCTCAAATTTGTCTTACAATCTGCCTAGTTTTATAACTTGTTTGTTTATTTCAAATTCATCAAAACCAAAATCCCCATTTTACTTTCTTGTTTCAAAGTGTTAAATTTCGGTTTTGTTTGTGTTTTTGAGTGTTTTGATTCAAACCAAAACACTAAATTCGTCCAAAATTGTGTTAGAGTCAAATCTGCCCAGTTTGTGTTTTTTTTAGGCAGTTTTGAGTCTTTAGAATCTGTTTTGAGTCCCTTGAGTCTATTCAAACATTTTTAACTCTGTTTTTATGTTTTTGAGTAAGTTTAGAGGTTTTAGCAAGCACTCCTAATCCCCGGTTTAGAACGATCCCTACTTGCATTTATACTACAATTTGACAACAAGAGGGTTTAATTTGAGTGCTTAACTTTCATCGCATCAAATTTTGGCGCCGTTGCCGGTGATTAGCAACTTTGCTAATCCCTTATTATTTCTTTTTGTTTATTTTCATGTGTTTTTGTTCCTAGTTGTTGATTTTACTTGTTTTCTTGTTTTAGGTGGTTTATGACTCGAAGTTCTCAACCTGTTCATAAGCACATCTTTGACTTTGACGACGATTTTGAGCGAACTTTGAGACGAGTAAGGAATCAACAAGAACCCTAATCATCTCAACCTGCACTAGATCTTGAAGAAGACAAAGTAGATGAGCAAAAGGAGGCCACGACAAGTACTTTTGAAGAAGTCCAAGATATGGCAGTAGACAATCGAACAATCAAGGAGCTTTCCGCTTCGGGATTGGACAATGCTCTGCCTTTATGCATTCAATATCCAAGGGCGGCCCAAAACAAGACCGACGAGTTCGAATTAAAGTCCAGTTTATTGCACCATATTCCTAAGTTCCATGGGTTGTCCATGGAAGATCCTAATAAACATTTGAAGGAGTTCATGGTTGTTTGTTCAAGCATGACCCTTGTGAATGTTGATGGGAGCATTCTGAAAATGAAGGCTTTTCCCTTTTCTCTCTTGGAAAAGGCTAAAGATTGGTTGTATGAGCTAGCCTCCGGAACTGTCACATCATGGGAGAGTATGAAACGGGTATTTTTGGAGAAGTTTTTCCCAACTTCTCGAGTCATTCTACTACGCAAAAGGATTAGTGGCATTCAGCAAAACCAAGGTGAATCCTTTCCCATTTACTATGAGCGTTTTTAAACCCTTGTTGCTTCATGTCCACAGAACCAGATGAAGGAAGAGCTTCTTCTTCAATATTTCTATGAAGGGCTTCTACCAATTGAACACCAAATGCTAGACGCCTCAGCGGGAGGAGCTTTGGTGGACAAAACACCCATGGTTGCCAAGACCTTAATTGCTAACCAAGCATTGGTTTTTGGGAGAACAAGAGACACTGCCATTGGGTGGACATTGGCCGATATCAAGGGAATTAGCCCTACCACTTGCATGCATCGAATGCTCTTGGAAGAAGGAGCCAAACCATCTAGTGAAGCATAACGCGGGCTCAATCCACCCATGATGGACGTTGTGAAGAAGGAAATCATCAAGCTACTAGATTGTGGAGTGATTTACCCAATTTCTAATAGCCATTAGGTTTCGCCGGTCCAAGTTGTTCCTAAGAAGTCCGGAGTCACTGTGGTAAAAAATGAAGATAATGAGCTTGTGCCTACCAGAATCCAAACCGGATGGAGAGTTTGTATTGACTATCGGAAGCTCAACGCTACGACAAGAAAAGATCACTTCCCACTACCCTTTATTGATCAAATGCTGGAAAGGTTAGCCGGTCATTCATTTTATTGTTTTCTTGATGGCTATTCGGGTTATAATCATATTGTGATAGCTCCCGATGACCAAGAAAAGACTACCTTCACATGTCCATTCGGTACCTTTGCTTATCGTCGCATGCCGTTCGGCCTATGCAACGCACCTGCCACTTTCCAAAGGTGTATGGTAAGTATATTCTCCGATTATGTTGAGAAGATAATTGAGGTATTTATGGATGGTTTCAGTGTATTTGGGGAGTCTTTTGATAATTGTTTGGATAATCTGACCTTGATCTTGAAACGATGTGTTAAAACTAACCTTGTGTTGAATTGGGAAAAATGCCACTTTATGGTTAAACAAGGTATAGTTTTAGGCCATATTGTTTCAGAAAAAGGAATTGAAGTAGATTAATCAAAAATAGACCTTGTACGTCACTTACCCTCTCCTACTTCGGTTAGAGAGGTTTGTTCGTTTCTTGGCCATGCAGGGTTCTACAGGTGTTTCATCAAGGATTTTTCCAAAATATCCAACCCCCTTTGCCGATTGCTTCAAAAAGATGTGCCCTTCCAGTTTGATGAGGAGGGTGAATCAGCATTCAAGCAGCTCAAAGAGAAGCTCACTTCGGCCCCTATCATTCTTCCTCCCGATTGGAGCCTTCCTTTCGAGCTTATGTGCGATGCATCCGACTATGCATTAGGCGCTGTTTTGGGGCAAAGAAAAGACAAGCAGCCGCATGTTATATACTATGCCTCTCGGACCCTCAATGATGCCCAATTGAACTACTCCACAACGGAAAAAGAACTTCTAGCTATTGTCTTTGCTTTAGATAAATTTCAATCTTACTTAATTGGAACTAAAGTGATTGTTTATACTGATCATGCAGCTTTAAAGTACTTACTAATGAAGAAGGAAGCAAAACCGAGGCTCATTCATTGGATGCTTCTTCTTCAAGAGTTTGACATCGAAATCCGAGACAAGAAATGAAGTGAGAATGTGGTGGCTGACCAATTAAGCCGAATGGTCCATGAGGAGCATGAGCATAACGTGCCTATCCCTGAAACTTTCCCCGATGAGCAGCTGCTGTCCATTGAGGTAAGTGAACCATGGTACGCCGATCTAGTGAATTACTTAGTGCCTAAACAAGTTCCTAGCACTCTCACCAAGCACTAATGTGATAAACTTCGAAAAGATGCACGTTTCTATGTTTGGGATGATCCCTATTTGTGGAAGTATTGCTCTGATCAGAGTTTGCGTAGATGTGTGCATGATTGTGAATTTCTTTCGATCATAAGATTTTGTCATACTTATGCTTGTGGTGAACATTTTTGCACTCAAAGAACGGCATTAAAGGTTCTTGAATGTGGATTTTATTGGCCCACGTTGTTTAAAGATGCTAGAACTTATTGTCTAACGTGTGATCGGTGCCAAAGAATGGGAAACATAGGTACCAAGGATCAAATGCCGCAGCAACCCCTATCTTTTGTTGAAATTTTTGACGTTTGGGGTATTGATTTCATGGGTCCTTTCCCTCAATATTATGGTTTCACTTATATCTTGCTAGCTGTTGATTACATTTCAAAATGGGTGGAAGCAAAAGCCACTTATACTAACGATTCTAAGGTTGTTGCAGATTTTGTGAAAACTAACATTTTTTCTAGGTTTGGAATGCCTAAAGTTCTCATTAGTGATGGAGGCTCCCACTTTTGTAATCAAACCATTGAGGCTTTGCTCAAAAAGTACAACGTTACACATAAGGTTTCAACACCTTATCATCCTCAAACCAATGGGCAAGCCGAGGTTTCAAACTGAGAGATCAAGCAAATCCTTGAGAAAACTGTGGGGCCAACAAGGAAGGATTGGAGCTTGCGCTTAGACGATGCATCGTGAGCTTATCGTACGACCTACAAAACTCCCATTGGCATGTCCCATTTTCGGCTCATCTATGGTAAGCCATGTCATTTGCCCGTCGAGTTAGAGCACAATGCACATTGGGCTGTGAAGACCTTCAACATAGATATAGATGCCGCCGGGGTGCATAGAAAGCTCCAATTAAATGAACTCGAGGAAATTAGGCACAAGGCGTACGAGAATGCTCGGATTTACAAGGATAAGACCAAGGCGTATCATGACAAGATGCTTCGTACAAAGACATTCTCCAAAGGGCAGAAAGTGCTCCTCTTTGATTCTCGCCTTCGATTATTCCCCGGTAAGTTACGCTCTAAGTGGATTGGACCCTTTGTTATTACTAATGTTTTTTCCCATGGTACAGTCCAAGTCCAAAGCATGAAAACCGGCCATGAATTTAAGGTGAATGGGCATCGTTTGAAGCCCTATTACGACCTGTTTGAGGAGCATATCGTGGAGGAAATACCCCTCCATGCCGTGAGCCCTAATGGAGCTTAAAAGGAGGTATCGTCCGGCTGGAAGACGTTAAAGCAAGCGCTTCTTGGGAGACAACCCATGTTTTGCGTTCCTAAAAACCTTTCCTTTTCTGCAATTTTATTTTGCCATGATTGTCATTTTTATTTGTTGCTTGTTTAATTGTTTTTGGTGTGGGTTTATTTTTGAAACATTGATAGATATGCAAGGTATTTTACATTAAAATTCATTGAAAAAAGGAACATTAAGCAGAAAATACAAGAGGAAGCCTTCACAAAGGCTGCTTAGGAGAAGTCTCAGTAGTCGGCGGAGCCCCAGAAGGAGGAGGCATCGAAGGCTGATCATTTGGAGCTTCATTACGCGGTATAGCCCCAGAAGACGAATGCAAATGCTGTTGGAACAAACCTACAAACCTCTGATGATCAAGTAAAATCTGACCATCAGATTCTTGCATCTGGTCAATCTTCCTCTTCATGTTTGTAGCATAGTTATGTGCGAGCCTATGCAACTGTTTATTCTCATGCTTGAGCCCTCTAATCTCCTGTTTGGGACTCACCACTTCAGCCGCCAATGATTCAACTTGACGGGTTCGAGCAAATAGGCGTTGGGCCATATTAGACACAGAACCTGCACACTACACACTAAGAGCCAGAGAATCCTTAACAGCCAACTCATCAAACCGTTTGGCAAGTAGTCTGTTATCTTTGGGAGTGACAAGGTTCCTGGCCACCACCGCAGCTGTCATATCATTCTTCATCACTGAATCCCCAACTGTAAGAGGACCAGTAGGGGATATGAAGGATGGGCGCCATATGTTGTCTAGAGAAAACGGGACTGCCTCTTCACCAAGGCTCAAGTCAAAATGACGGTCGGAGAGGCCAGACATTTTCAGAGGTGTTAAAGAAAGAAGAGGTCAGACAAGTCAAGATCGTAGAAGTGCAAGAAGGGAGTTTCTACAGGTAGAAATTCAAGTGTGCTTTGAACGTCCTGCGTACCTCTATAAAAATCAGCACTCGACGGGATTTCAGAGATCGAAGAGGCGAGCTCAGAAATCGAAGAGGCGCTAGCTTTCTCAAAAACTGGGCTTGCTCATAAACCACAGCCAATCTTTTTTTCCAGATTTGTCCGCACTTGTCACATGCAACCTCTGCACTCGATGGGATTTCAGAGATCGAAGAGGCAAGCTCAGATATCGGAGAAGCATGTGTCAGCATCTGTCACATGCAGAGTCAGCTTTGCGAAAATCACGGGCAGTTTGTCGAAGCGCCGATTCCAGATATCAGAGAGGCATCTGCTTTTTCCAGACGTGTCAACATCTGTCACATGCAGAGTCAGCTTTGCAGAAACTACGGGCAATCTGTCGAAGATTTCTGGTGACGTGGAAAGCACGTGAAGAATTACTATTCAATCATCCAACGGTTGACGACAAGAGTGAAAGAATAGTACCGGTTATTAATTCATATAAATGTCGACCTTCACCCTCCCTTGCAATGCAGACATACATAACCCTTTATCTCCGAGAATGCCTTCCCAACAAAGCCTCTCGAGTCACTCAGTGTTCCTTATTCCCTGGGATACCTCTGCAAACAACCCATCAAAAGCAAAAGTATTTCATATCATGAAGGTTGAAAGCAAGAGTATCTCATATCATGTTTTCTCCCTGTCCTTCTCTTTGTCGTTGTTTTCATCTGCACGACAAGAGCCAGCACTTGGTATCAATCTTCCGATCTGGAACCGACTACCTGGAACCCTTTCCTGATTGCTTACCTAGCCTTGCTTTCGAGTACTCATCTTCAACATCTTATGCTTCTGCTTCGCCTACCACTTCTGCTTGGGGAACAGATAAGGGAAGTGAAAATGATACCTCGAAGCATGTGGTGACAATGTGATAATTCATCCTCAGCTAGGGACAAGGAGAAAGAAAGCAAGAGGTGGGCACTTGGAAAGATTAAAGAAACAGACCATCACCTCTACCTCGTGCCTGCCTGCCGTGCATAAAAAACAAGCAGAGAAGAATGCAGACTGCACAATCAAATCAACCCAGCAAAAGGAATCTGAATTGAAACCAAGGAACTCTCATATTCCTCACTCAGAATTCCAAACCAGTTCGAGATCAAAGCTGTGGAAAGACAACAAGATCAACTATCTCCAAAACCAGATTTGCGTTCTTAAACTCTACTCTGTCTGGTTTTTACTTTGCTATACTTGTCATGTTTATTCATTGTTTGTTTATTTGATTGTTATTGTGTGAGTTTATGCTTGAAACATTGAGGACAATGTTTGATTTAAGTGTAGGGGTAACCATTGTTTTGCATGAAATTCGTAGGAGTTTATCACCCATTACTTCTAGTGTTGTTCCTTGCTGTTTTAAGTGTTTTTAAGCTGTTTTGGAGTGTTTCAGTGTGTTTTGACATAAAAATCCAAAAATCTCATAAAAATTTGAAAAATTCTTTTGAAAAACCCAAAAAGAGTTGTTTTTGTATGTTTATTTGTGTCTTAGGGTACCTTCCAACACAATGATGAGGATTTGGTTTAATTACATGACTGTTAAAGAGAGTTATAAACATGGATAAAAATTTGATTTACTCTTTGGTGTATGCTTGGTTGGGGTTATTGGTGCGAAATATATAAGCACACCAATTAAACCCTCTTGTTGTCAATTGAAGTAAAGAATGTAAGTAGGGATCGTTCTAGGCCGGGGATTAGGAGGGATTGCTAAAACACTTGAAACTGACTTAAATATGTGAAAACAAACTTAAAAGTATGAAATTAAACTTACAAGACTCAAAACAAAGTCACAAGACTCAAAACAGATTATAGAGACTCAAAACTGCCTAAAACAACTCTAAGGCAGTTTCTGCCACTAACACAAAGTTTGGACGAAAATTGATTTTATCTTAACTCAAAACACTTAAAAACACAACTAGGACAGATTCTAACTAATTAGACACTCTAAAGTAAAGGGGGATTTGGTTTTGGATGAATTTAAGTAAAAACAAGTAACTAAAGACTTAAAACAAATTGGACGAATTTGGTGATTTGAATGGATGATGGGCAAGCTAGAAGGTCTTTCTCCACACATGACACACTTGCATATAAAACGATTTCTAGTTGCTTTTCAATAAACTGTGAACCTCAACACCCTAGATTAATTAGGTACGCTTAAATTAATCCTCAGATTTTCCTAATTTCATTGAATTGGATGATTGCATACAACAACCCAAAGCATTCCCCACAAGTTCCTTACATGAATTGGATAATAGAGATACAAGCAAGAATCATTAAGTTCTATGAAAATCATAAGCATTGACGAAACACTTGTAACTATGAATTGCATGAAACTTATGCCAAGAATTTACTTAACATGGTTGTGACGAACAACCTTTACTACTTGTGAATATAAGTTCATAACGATTAGGTGAAACTCCCTTATATCCTAGCATCATATTTATGCGTAGAAATTAAGCGTGCACTCTCAACCAACATACACAAATCAGTTTTAATTCAAATGGATAAGTAAATTGAATTCACAACTTATGAATCACAACTGAAAGTAATCAAATCATATTGCAAGCATGAACATAGTTTCGAATTCCCCCCTAGCTAAGGGGGGTTTAGTTTCTCATACTTAAAAAGCAAAGATAAACAAATTTAGACATTGAAAACAAAAAGAAAGAAAACACCTAAATGCTCCAACGATCCAAGTTGGACAGCAAGCACATCCAAGTACTTTCCTTTCCTTCCTTTGCTACGGCACATGGTGTTGGTGAGTGTTTGAAGGTTTGTTTGTATGGAGGAATGGATGTGAGGATGAATGGAAGTGTTTGGATGAAGGTTGTATCGAAATGGTGATGAATTCTCTAGCAAAAACTGAAAATAATGGCTGCCACACACACTTCCTTTCATAGAGGAAGTGCATGACATGGAGGGATGGATGGTGGTGTTAGCAATGATTCAAAGGTGTAAGTGAAGCAATGATGCAAAGCATGGGGGGTGAAATGGAGTGGTGTTTCAGCTATGAATGCAAGTGGGGAACATGAATGATTGTGCACATGGTAGATAAAGGAAAGGGAGGTAGAATGGTGCAGAAATGAGTCATAGGTGCAGGTGGATTCATGATGCACGGCATGGGCAAGGAAAGTGGAGGAGTGGTGCATCAATGAGTGCATGTAGATTTATGAATTCACATGCAATCATAAAGGAAAAATCAATTTTGTAACATGCTTGAAAGAAGGAACTCAAATGTACGCTACAACCTTGTGAGACTTGAGCCTAAACGTTTATTTGGAGAGTTAATAATCTGTGCATCATTGTTTTCTAAAGTCGTTGCATGATCTCATTATTCTTTGCTTTGTTGCTACTTAGAACGCGTTTCATCATTTAGTTCCAAATGCTAGAACTCATGCCTATTTCATTCAAAGCATGCTATTGATTTGCATAATACATATTCAAGATGAAGTTGTGTAGTGACCACCACAACCAAATTGTCGTGCTCTATTTCATTATGTGTTTAAGTTTAACCCTATTGAGCCTTGTGTAGCCTATGTTCTTTGTTAACCCACACTATCCTCACCTAGCTTAGATTAGGACCATCCATACCCTTCTTGAAGTATAGTGGAGCATAACTTAGAAAGAATTCATTTTGATCAACATTATTGCAGAAAACAAGTGTGGGGGAATTTAGATTTCAAAGTTGTGTTTTTTTTGTGTGTGCCAAAGAAATTGGGCATGGCAGAGAGAAAAATTCGTGAAAAAAAAGAAAAAAGAAAAGAAAAATAAATGCATGAGTTGCATGAATTTTCCCTTGTGTTTAAAAGTAGATTTCTGCATTCTAAGAGAATTCTAAGTACCTAAATCATTACTTTGCTCACTATTGCTTTAAGAACATTTGTTTACCCTTACCTTTCTTTGTTAGCCAACGCCCTTAACCCCATTACAACCCTTGACTTCTATCTTGAGTGTTGTGTATTTCAATATGTGGAGTTTGAAATTGGTATGAGCATATGATATCACTGATTCTCGCT